CAATTTTAAACCTATATTGTCTTCCTGAAGAATAGTCCCAAAGACTGAATGAGGGGCTCTAATTAAACCTTTTGCTTTCAGAGGCATCAGATCATACTGATACTTTTCAACTCGTTGGAGTAGTGATACTGAATGAATAAAACTGTTAACTTGAAAAGGTCACTCCTTTGCAAAGTCAGGGATAGTTGCTATGGGCAGAAGTTGGCTGCACAGGAGGCCCGAAGTTCCACATCAGAGGCTGGGTAGAAAATTGTGTTTCACATCTGAGGTAATACCAGAGGATGTGTAACTGTGTTAATGAGTATTGTTTGCAATACAAAAAGTAGTTTTTAAAAAGTAAATAAATACAGGTTTAGAAAACAGCAAATAGGCTAAAATAATTTATTCCCTCAATCCTAAAATATTTACATCCTTAGTTCTATTTTAGACACAGAAGGTAAGAGACTCCAGCGAATTAACAAAAGAAATAAGCATGCAAATCAATTTCAGACAACAGACACCAGTTACTAATTTGCCACTGGGTGATGTTTAACAATCTGAGAGTAATGAAAGGAATTTTCAGGGAGAATAATTTACTGTGTTCTGGGCTATGCATGTGCTAAGGATGATGTCATACCCTGAAAGGATATCTATGCAGACCATAAATAGTCTTTCAGCTGCAGAGATTTAACACTTATTTTGCAAGATGAGAGTGTATTTTCAAATAAAATGCTTTTCTCTTTCTCTAAAGAAGGATATTTCAAACTATAAAACAAGTTTTATTGTTAAAACTGTGCTAAACAGTGATATGCTATAATGAAAAGTGAGATGCACGTAACAAAATAGAAGCATGAAATGAAGACCAGGAATGGAAGGGGAGGTGAGACCTTGAATCCTTTTGGTACTATGTCATTGACTTGCTTTGCAGCCTGAAGCAAGACCCCAGTTTGCCTCCCAAGAAGCAGGGACGGAGGTCACAGGATTGCACCCTGCATTACAGGGTCACGTGTAGTTCAGTTAGGATTCAGTGTGGTGTCTCCTAGCCTTGGTGCAAGTGTAGCTGTCTGTCTAAAAAAAATGGGACTCAGACAGTTTCATCCCCAAAAGCTTTGAGAACCTCAGGTTAAAAATGTGGTGGATATACATGCTTGCTCACCTAAAACTTGCACTAGCCAGTGCCAGTGCTCCCAATATTTAATAAAACTCAGATCTTGTATACATTCAGATGAATAACAAAAAAGCAAGACTCTGTTTAGATGCAGAAGTGCAACTTTAAAACAATATTTTAAAAATTATAATATTGTGCTTACTCCTGACCGATGATTAGCCCCAGCATTAGTATAGGACAACTGGAATGCAGTTAATAACCCTGAGCAGGTACTATTTTACCTTCCATGGCCACAGCCCATGCTGCATCTTTCTGTTACTTCATCGGACTGACAAGTATGACAAAGGCTGTCATACTTTGAAATGGTTCAAAAAGGAAATAATATTCCTGCACTGTCTTTGACTTTCTTCCATTGTCTCTCTCCCATAGCAAGCTTCAAGATCCCACTGGGACTTGTGGTATTTGGCCATTGTATTAAGCACTTCATCTAAGCTCTCTGGAAATACCTACTTACTAAACTGTGCTCATGCACATCTGCTGCTCACTTATTATACTGGAATGCTCGTAGACTTTTCGCTTTTGCATTATGGGAAACCATCTCAGAAATGGCACTCCGGAGAGTTAAAACTTTTTCTGGAACAGACAGGAGGAAAAGAACGGTATGAAAATAGATTCATATAGAATTAAATAAATTAATGCTGCTCTGCTGGTTCTAGACTATATGCTGAATCTTTTTCTCATTTCTGAAGTGTTTAGGTCATTCCTTGCATGGTCTCCATGTTTGTTACATTTGAGGAAATGATCTTTCTGTACTGTCCATGTGTGCTAGGATTTCTGATACATGATTATAACATATAATAGTATATAATTATTTAATATATAATTGCTGAAAATAACGTGGCTTGTGTTTAATTTAACATAATATTTGACTGGGGCTGGAAGAAGGAGAGGGAGGTTTCTGTGGCTTGTTTGTGTAATAGGGATGAAAACATAGTCTTTCCCCTGGATCCACAAGATTATTCTCGAGGTAGAACTATTTGCATTACGTAAAGGAAGAGTTAAAGAATGCAGGCAAGCCACAAGGTGGGAAGGAGAAGTAGATCAGGCAGACCTTCCTTATTGTGTCTGTGCCAAGCAGTGCTGCTATGGCTGTGGCAGCTGCTGTAGCTCTAGGCCTAAAACAGCAGCTGCCAAGTACTGCCTTGAGGTGCTGGATTTTTTTTTTCTCTAATCCCTCCATCCTGGGCTTGTGCTCAGCCATAGTGCACTCTGTTCCTATACAGGATTTAGGAAGTGGGTAGCAAGCATTAAAACAGCTCCAGGTGGAGGGATTTTCATCCACCTTGTTAAAATCAGTGCAAGGAAGGAAGGAAGGCAGTGAATATACTAAGATCAAAGATCATTGGTACACAGCAAGACAGAAGGAATGCCCTTATCACTTAAGTGTATCCTGAGTCAAATATTTTATACTAGTATATACTTTGAGATTGTGGGGTAGAAGGATTTAATTATAAGAATGGAGCTGTAAAAATTTAGACATCTTCCTAATTCTTGAAAATTGTTTAAAAAAGAAGTCTGAGTGATGGATTATTCCTTGGTTTTACAGAAAAGTGTCTTTGTACTTTGGATAAATTATTTGAGCTCCACACACTTGTCCTCCACTGTTTCCAGAAATCAAACTCCTAGGGAAGGTACGTGAATTCCCATGGTCTGGGCAGACCATAAGAGAGAAACTGAATTAAGACACAGAGGTGATTCCTGCCTTTTGCTTTTGCCAGCAGCTTGCATGTCTACAAAGCTCACCTGCAGCAATTACATATTGTCGGTACATTTCAGTTAGATGTGTACTTAAGGAGAGAACTAGCTAAGAATCATCTTCAGCATTATTGCCCCTGCAGACTCCTGCAAGTTGTAAAAACAAGTGAACTGCAAATTACCTTTGTATTGAAAAGAGAAATGAAACCTAAGTTCATCCTGAAGCTGTGGAGGTGACACCATGTGTTTATAGTGGCCTGTGTAATCTTTTTCTGGGTACTCATTTTGAGAGGTGTCAGAGACAGGATGTGGAGTTAGACCTTTGGTCTGACCCAAACCATACACTGGTGCAGGTGTAGCTCATTTGCAATGTCATTTTGGTAAATGGTAAATATAATTAAATAATTTAGTTGGAGTGGGTGTTGATCATTTTAAAAACCTAACAGGGCAAGCAAAGTGGAATCTAGGTTAGGGGTGGAGTGCTTTGACTGAAAATAATGTGCAGGAATGCTACTCAATACACACTTTAGGAACATTTTCCTAATGGGAAAACCTACGAAATAAATCCTAAGGGCTTGTTCTACCTGAAAAGTGAGTGGTAAGTAGTGTATTTTTATCACCTTAGTCCACTTCCTTCACCTGCTAGTAATTTCGTCTCATGCTTGTAAACAAAAAAAAAAAAAAAGCCAAAAAAAAAGAAGAAATGTTCTTGCTTTCTTGTACTGCTTGTGCTTCACAAGCCATATATATAAGAAATAGTGTTTTCCTAACACACCTGTTTCAATCATTGCCTCCACTAGAAACCTACTGAAGGCAAATGGACTATCCAGTTGTCACTGAAGGCATGATTTAATGATGTAGTATCTCTACACTGATGAATTCACCCTTTTTAATGTGCTTAATCTATGGTGCGTGAAGCAGATGGTACCTCTGCTTTGCAGACCTGTCTGTGGAAAGCCCATTTCTTCTCCTTTTCTCTTCTGCACGTGATAAACAGAGCTTATTTATTAAAGAAGCCATCAAGGTACAAAGTTGAAGCCTCAGGAGCCACTTTTACAGTGCCTTTTCAGAAGGTACCTCCTCCTTCAAGCAGTTGTTTTCCAAGTGGCCTCCAGCACCCCCTACATAATTGCCTTGTTTCACATTTGGAAAAAAATAATATTGCTGGCCCGCTGTGTGAGCAGTGACGGTAAATAGTGAAGGATAGATGGAAGCAGTTGGGTGAGAAATCTGTGACAGGCTTTTGTGTGAAAACATTTAGTATCTGCTCTCACTTTAATCATTTATTATTTTTAAGTCAGTGACAAAAACATCCTGCTGAAATAGGAACACTGGGATCCCATCTGCGGGGAGAATGGGTGGTGTTAGACAGATCTTACTATCGTGTCGACGCGACAGTATATCAGGCAAAGATATTAGTTGCTAGTTTTACTGTTGTTTTTTAAGACTGCTCATGAAAAGTTCCTTTAGCTGGGCTTATGAACTTTCAAGTGGCTGCATAAAATTATATCTTGTCTTTGTTTATCCATATCATAAAGTTATTCCAGAAAAAATAAAATAGAGACTTCATCTTTTAGAAGTTTGCTATACCTTTATGTTGCCCTCAGGCCACTTCTATTTTTCTTCGGAGAAAGTGGATTCAGATTTCTTCCAGAATAGGACCACTTAGTAAAGGCTGGAGCTGTTTGTGATAAATCTTCAGTCCTTTCAGTCACATGTATATTTGAATGAAATGTAATAATTATTTTTCTTTTGTCTTTTAAACATCCACATTTTGTAACTGTGGATTAAGTATATTGAAACATATCATTGCTGTGGCAAAATAGTCCTAATAACACAGGACTTGCCTTTTTTTCCTGTTACAGAACTTAGAAATAAGTATCAAAACAAGGTATGACATATGAATAGCAACAGGCTGTGTAAGAGTGATGAATATGTTCCAGGTTTAATGTAGATGGAAATGGAAGCACTTTTATACCTGCCAAAACCTTTTAACAACATTTTGAAAACTAGTGTTTACATTCTTTGAAATGTTTATATCTAGAAGCAACCTCCTACTTTGGCAAACTTGTTTTAAATCCTCTTGGACCTCTGACAACCAAACTGACAAATATACTGATATCCCCCGATGTCTAAAAGCTTGTTTTCACAGAATCACAGAACCACAGAAGGGGTATGCTTGGAAGGGACCACAGTGGAGCATCTCGTCCAACCTCCCTTCTCAAGCAGGGTCATCCTAGAGCAAGTCACACAGGTTTGCATCCAAACGGTTCTCGAGTATCTCCAGTGGGGGAGACACCACAACCTCTCTGGGCCACCTGTTCAATAGGAGAGTTAGCAAAACTAAACATTTAAGGACTGTAATTTGAGAAACTATCCCCCAATGAGGAATTAACATTGTTATCCTCTGGTGGTTTCTTCCAGTAGGCCCAATAGAAAAAGTATAGTATCAGTCAAGATGAATTTTAGGAATACTGGAAAAAAAAAAATTTCAAGGGTCACCAACAGCATACTCTTTTACCAAATGCTTTGCTTAATGATTCACAGTCTCCTGCAACTCCTGACCATTCTGTGGTACAATATTACAGCATAGATGTCAGTAGCACCGTGTGGCTGCTATTCAGCTTGCACATGGTGCCAAATGATTTAACAGCTATTAGGCTGTCAAACCAACATGATATCTTTAGGACTAGGCTTACCCAGTCCAGTTTTGCCAGTCCAGTCTCACTGTTTTCGTGTCCTTAATTTTCTCCTCAGACACAGGATAGCATCCTAGTTCTGGTCCAATACAGGGGAAGAAGTGGTGTGAAGGAGACCTGTTCTCCCTCTAGTCCTTTCCAGCAAAGCAGCAAAGCAGACAAGGGCTGAGTGCTTATGGGCTCAGGGAACATTCATGGGAAGTGAAAGTGGGAGATGAGGTGGTGTCCTTACCCTCCCTCTGGGTATCAGCACAGATCCCAGCTGTCCCCTTCTCCTACCCTTACAAGTCAGGTGAGATCAGATCAGCTGGGACATGAGATTGGGTTCATGAAAGACAGACACGTTCTTGTGGTGCTCTTCTCTTTTTACCATTTGCCCCAAAGGGTGTTTTTGTTATTATCAAGAAAAAAATCTGCTCAGTACAGCCACAGTTCTCTTGGAGCAAATCAATTATTTGCGTGAGGAGTACAGACATTACCTGCTTCTGTTGTTTGGTTTTGAGCAAAGGAGCTTTCCCCATCTTTATTCACTGCATGTCATGGGAACAAATGGAGGACATAAAGCACTTCATTCTTGCCCAGGCTCAAGGGGAAAGAAAAAAAAAAAAAGGAGGTTGCATTTAATAGACAGAAGTCTGAGACCCTGGAGTAGAAGCTGTGTATGACTGCCTCTCAGATGATGCTCCAGTTCAGGAAAATTGGTGAAAGGACATCTGTTGGCAAATTGTTTTTTTGGGTTATTTAGAGCAGCAAGTTGAAAAACACAGGAGATGAGGATATGTGGGATCCCAACTGACCATAAGAAATCAAATTGCACTCTTTAAAAGAAAACTGATTACCAGACATATTAAGCTTTAATCTTATTTGCAGTTAGTAGCCCCAAAGAGAATGCTTTGTTGGAGACCTTCCAAGAACAGCTATTGCAGACAGCTTGTAAAGCAACGACGATGCGATGGAAATAATGCAAATACAGTTCAACATTTGCTATAATAAAGTTAGTTTATGACACCCTTTGTAACAACCTCAACAATAAATGCCAATTTCCTCATTGGCAATTAGCTCTGGTGAGACAAACACTTCCCCAAAGTTGACATGAAGACAGTATTTACATATTTCTTTCTTTTTACAAAACGGACTGTATCTGGCACATAAGTGTACTTTTTATTTCTAAGATTTCTAAGCATCATTTAAATACTGAATGAGTGCAAGTGACCTCCACTAATGTACTGCTTCTGTGCACTCGGTTCAAATGGGATGCTGCTTCAGATGCAGCAAGCTGCCAAACCCTGACACAGTGACCTGCTTCAGCTGGGGAACACTTTAATTCCGGTTCTGTGAGGATTCCTTGGCAAGGCTGCTCCTGGCTGTTGTCCTCATGACACTAAGCCATGCTGCTGATGTGAATTATGGTTAAACATATCTTACCTGTGAGATCTGGTCACTGATGCTTCTGTTTACCTTGCAGGTAGCCTGAATTTCAGTTCCTCATCTGCCCAGAGCCTGGCAGCTGTGGCATTTGTGTTGGTCAACCTCAGTTCACCTCTCTGCAGCTGTAGGTGGGCTGCAGATGTAAGATGGAGACTTATGCAGGTAACTGTGCCCATTAATGCCTGGTACAGTACAAATTACACAGGAGGTTCTCCTCTACATTTTCCTTAAACCTGGTATTTTTTGGGGTTCTAAGAACATCAGAGGAGTGGCACAGCTTGGGCAAACAAGTAACCAAAGAAAGAAAAATCCTTTTTTTTTATCCTTTCTCCCCTCCAGGCAACTCTACAGTGTGTATGTTAGAGGAATTTGAGAGTCTTGTGAAATCAGAAGGCTACCATGGACTATAATTACAAACTATCACAAGGATTTTTAAAATGTATTTATTTGTTCTCATGACTTGGAGACGTACATATTTTAAAAGATCCCTCCAATAGTAGTTTTACAAAGTTGACTTAGTAGTGTTGTACAATCCATAAACCAGAATCCCAGTACACTTCTCTTAATACAAATACCACAAACTTAGTCCTTATAGACTACATTTTTGAAAGTTGACTTACTCCAAAATTACATCTTTTTATTTACACGGTTTAGTAAATTCATACCACTTCTTTAAGTGTCTTTGGCTGTATCTAGACTTCTCACATTGACTTTCTCTTTTCATGAAATTGATAATGTTTTTGCTAAGTGAATTTCCTGGACTTGGTTGCAGTGTAATAAAATAGATAATCAAGGTGTTATAAAGGCATTCCACCAGAGGGATTTGGGATATATCCTACAGCATCATCAGTCATAACAGAAAAAGTGTTAAGCTGCTTGTATACAACAAATCTCAAACTTTTTAGTGTAAATTGGAAATACACTTTTTTTTTTCCCACAGGAAAGCCTGATACTTCTTGTATTATCTACCTGTGTGTAAGCACACACATATTCAGCCCCCAGCCTATAAATGCTAAATGAAGGCAGCTCTATAGCTTTTGTGTGCATTATGTCTCACAGGGAAGTAACCTGTCATAGTACACGCTTCCTGATGAATGTATCAGCTGAGCAATACAGCAAAGCTCAAACATTTAAGTTGTTTAAGCACACAAGGTATCTCATTCAGCTCACTGAAGGTGAACATATGTGGGAGCCATGTGCTGGGCTAAGAATGCCTCCTTGTGCTACTGTTTATGCATTGGCTACCTTGGTATTTTCACAGGAATGTTTACTCTGTCACCTGACTACAACTTTAAGCATTTTTCAAAATGTTTTTTATTCAAACTATTTCTGTCAATATTAGTCAAATCCTCTTTTAGTCTAATCCTCAGGTCACCCTGGCTAGATGTCTGCTCAGGAATCCATCCTGCACTTTTGACTCTTCCTCAGTGAGGGGAGAGCAGGCAGATGGAGTTCAAGTGCAACCACTGTGCTGCTGCCTGGCACTCTCCTGCTTAAAGAGGCTGGGCCTGAAAGAGCTTCAAAATATAAATCAAAATATATGGAGAAATAGGGTCCTGTATGCTACCTAGCAAACTAAGTACCCATCCTCAACAGATCTGGATATGAGGATTCTGGTTTTGTCTGAAGAAAAAGTATCACAAGTGAATGGTTCAAAAACCTAAGAGCCTTTAAAAAGGCCTAGGTTACTTTTGAAGGAGGCAAGAGCAAATAGCACCTGCATATGTGGCAAACAGAATAAAAAAATCAGTCTCAGAGTTAGAAAAAATAAAAATACCATAGAACTAGTGGCGCTGTGTGGTGGGTAAAGGGCTATTACTAGTTAGCATCTGAACAAAAAGATCTTTAAAGAGAGAAATAAGTGGAAGCAGCAGCAAAATTCCGCACAAAATTATGAGGCATCAGTCTGACGCGTGTTTGGCACTCACCTAACTTTGTCTGCACATTTTTTTTTTTCCTTTCCCTGTTTAAATTCTATTTTGAATATAGGGTTCCTGCCAAGGAACTTGTTAAAAATGTTTATAATGAGCACAGCGTGGTTTTTGGGTTCTGTAAACAAATACCTCTTTAAAGGTGTACATCACTTCAGAGACTTAAGATTCACTCGTCAAGGAAACCCAGTGTTTTCTTCACTGAAACTTTGCTAGTTAGACTTTTCTAAAGAGGGCATACCAACTTTGATCTATAAGCTGTAAAAAGCTGAATTTAAGAGTAGGAAGATGATAAAACACTTTCCAGAATTCGAGTGTCAAAAATATTCTTGAGGGGGGTGTATGTGTTTTTGTGCGTGATAAGTAATTTTCTAGTTATATTGAATAATCTTAGTCCACAAACATGGTTCTAGGGCAGATGTCTTAACATTTTGATGCTGCCTTGCCCAGGGGCCACTGCTAAGAGGCTTGTTGCAGCCTAACGAGGCGCTGCAACATTCTTTCAGCCATGGGTCCCAACATCGCTGCAACATATTGTCAAATAGGGAGATTGTGGCGCACCACGTTGACGGGACCCAAGCTATGCCAAAGCTACCCGTGGCCCAGCAAGGAGCTGGGAGCTGCCGCTGACCCCCATCTCAAGGCGTAGGAAGGACAACTCAGTACCACGCGGTTCTTGCAAGTCCTCACAGCCCAGACCTACTTTCAAGGCGCACGTAGCCGCGGGTGCAGCAGGTGCCAGCACAGCAGGAATGACACAGGAAAACACCACACCTGCTCACCAGCTACAGACCCGAGACACCACGGGGAGCCGCAACCCCGGGCGGCGGCCACGCACCCACAGCCCACAGGGCCGTGCACGAAGCACCGCACACCCTGCTCAGTCAGGGGCCCCCGGGGCGACACGTGTTGGACCAGAACCGGCCCAAGCGAGCAGCGCTCCCCGCACGGCGACAGGCGGGACCGAGGGTACTGCCGCCCGCCGGCTTTGCTACACCAAGGCGGTGGACGGCAGTCCCCGACCTCGCCAGGTACCGGCACCCCCGCGACAGCGACCCCCACCCCACCACGACGACCCCCGCACATCCGGGGCAGCGGCGGGGCGGAGCGGGGCCGAGCGGGGCGGTCACCGCCCCTTCCCTGGTCCCGCCTCCCCGCGCCGCCGCCGCCGCTGCCGCCGGTGATGGAGACGCGGCGCTGAGCGGGTCGGGCGGCAGCGGTGGTGCGCGGGAGAGCGGGCGGGGGCGCCGCCGTCGGCGGCAGCAGCGGGAGCGGCGGAGCGCGGGGCATGCGGGGCGGGCGCCGCCGGGGGGCTGCAGCTGCGGGCTCCGAGGCGCCGAGGGAGGCGGCGGCAGCGGCTCCTCCGCGGGGCTCCGTGTGACCGCGCCGCTGCGCCCGGAGCGCGGCTCCCGGCAGCCGCAGGAAGAGGGGGGCCGAGGCGGCGGCGGTGCGGCGCTGCTTCCCCGGCCGAGGGGCGAGGCGGCGAGCGGAGGCGCCGGCTCTCCCCGTGGCCGTAGCGGCCGCCGCCGGCAGCGCAGCGGCAGCGGCGGCCGCGCCTCAACTTGGTGCGAGGCAGCGGCCGCCGCGACGAGCGGGCGGAGCGCGGCTGGTCCCCGTCCCCGCCGCCGCCCGGAGGATTTACCCCGCTGGACTCTGTTCCTCGGGCGCCCGGTGACAGGCGGGGTCGGCGGAGCCCTTCGCCTCTCCCCGACGCCCGCCCTGCAGCGACGGAGAGGAGGGCCGAGGTGAGTGTGGGCTCCGGGCGCCTCGGGTTCCGCTTCCCCCCCGCGCTGGGGCTCGGGGGAAGGGAAGCGCCAAGTTTAGGCAGCGCCGGGCTTCTTCCCTCTCCGCCGGTGCTGCCCCGGGGGCAGCCGCCGGGGAGGACGGGCACACACAGCCCGCGGCTGCCTTCCGGCGGCTCCCCGAGGTGCTCCATGGTCGGGGGAGCTGGGGACGTCCTGTTGCTGCGTCCAGGGGTCGGGAGCTGCTGTGTGTCAGCAGCCTCCGGCAGCGTGCCTCTGTGTGTGTGTGTGTGTCTGTGTCTGTATGTATGTGTTTGTGCAGGGGGGGACTACCAGGGCAGCATCCCCGACTCTACCTCTGCACCGCTGTCATATCAAGTTCGTTCAGTTAATGTATATTATGTAACATGTGACTAATATTTTAGACTTTTTCTTATCTGCTGGAATCCGGATCAGCCTTATTTTATTTCCTTTTAATTCATAAAGCTGAAGAAGGTCGGGGAAGCTAAGACTCTCATTCCAAGTGGTTGCCTACAGGAACTTAGTTTTCATGTGACTTTACCCGTGTTAACAGAGGGTTACTACCTCCTTCCACTTCAGGAAAGCAGAAGTGTGTGTCATCTGCCTTCTCCACCTCCACTCCCCTTTTATTATTAAGTCCGGGCAAGTTTCTTTAGGTCCTGCTTGGTTTCAGCAAACTCTAGAACCTGCTACTTTGTAAACTTACTGGGTGAGATACTGAAATAGAAACTGATTTTTGTGCAGCAGCTGCTCAGAGAAATAACTTTTATGGCGATGAACAGGAGTGAAACAGTCTCTTCTGTTTATATAAATGATGTTGGCACTACATGAACTGTAAATGAACATAGCCAACAGCTGTGCAAACCAAAACTATGTAACTAACCATGTATTATTATACACTGCTGATCTCAACTTTGCTTCTTTGCAAAGGCATTCAAGATCATGCTACTCTGAACACTTGGAACACCACAGAAGTTGTTTTTCTTGTACATACAAAGGATTGCTTATATTGGGAGAGCACTTTACTTTCTAGCGCCAGCTTCATCATTTTCTGTGACTTGGAATTTTGTCTCTGTCCTCCTGTGATGCTAGCCTGTTTTTTGAGTGGTATTACTAGCACTCTGAATTTGATTTTGCTGCATTTTATCAGCCTTACCTGTGAAACAGGAATGCACATCAGAGGCAAATATTGTCAAATAGGGAGATTGTGGCAGCATGGTCATCTTAAGAAAAATGATACAAATGGTACCTGGCAAGGACACCACACACAAGCCACCCTTGAGATCAAGGTGATAATGACAACACATGGACTATTACTGGATGCTGTCTGTCTGTTCAGAACTGTAAGCTGCATGAATGAATATACCTTATTCCTCATATACCTTGTTCCTGTAGGAATAGGGCTATTCAAAGACACTAATTAAAGTCATGGAAATGCTTTAAAAATACCATGTGACAGTCATTGCATAGCCTAGTGGTGAGGTGGTACTGTTACACTTTTATACAAAGATTTATTCCTCCCCCCTCATCATCTCATATTGGATTTTTTTCAAATAAGTTCAGGAATAAGCTATACAGAAAAAGAATGGAGGTAGTTTAGAATAAATTTCAGTGCCAAATTGCTGCTTTAGTGAATAGTACCCTGCTGTCTTTGTTGCACGTGTCGATAAGCTATATGTTAGCTATAAACTTGTTAAATATTTTTCTTTTTTTCTGTCACAGAAAGAGCGTAATATTTGGGCTGAGAAGACAATGTAGCTCAAGGGACACTCATCCAAAAATAGGGTACTTCCAAATACTTAAATCCTTTGAATGCAATTGACATTATGTTCAGTTCAAGAGGCAAGAGATTATTGACAGATTTTGCCTTTTATATTTGTAGTGATTTTTTTAATTTTTATTTTTGGGCACATAAGTGTCAGATTGTCCACCTAGCAGAGAAGTTTGATTCCCAGGACCAAAATGGTATGGTCTTTGGCTCTGCAGTCTTACCCAGCCTGTGTTTTTAAGTGGCTTCTATGTGGAAGTGCAGGAAACACCTCTAGATGCAAGTTGACCTGTATTGGGAACTGTCAATACTTGTAAGGAAAAGGAATAGCCTACAAATTTAAATAGAACTATTTGTTTTGTGTGTGTGTGTGTAAGATGCATTAAAATACCTTTTAGCAGTTATTGTGGTGCTTTTTAAAATGGTGCTGTTTCATACCTAATCAATCACTTTATCAAGAATTTTGAAGTTCTTTTATCCATCTTAAATTATAATCAAAATCTGGAAGTATGTAGTGCTGTCCTTCAGGCCAAGTTATAGTGCATGTTTTTCATTCCAGCGTTACTCTTCAGGATCTTGATTTTTAAAGTTTGTTTGGAAGGTAGTGTTTTTGGTGCCCCCCTCCTCCCTCAGCATGGTGCTTTTAGTATTGAAATTGTGACACTGGGGTTTATCTGGAATTCATCTGGATGAATAGCTCATGACAGATAGAAGTGTTAAAGGAGGCAAATGTTGAATGTTTCTTTTATGGTATGGGTCTTGCACCAGAGCTTAATAAAACTAGGCTTGGATCCTTAAATGGGATGTTCCTCATCTCAGTCCATTTTTTTGTCTTCCTCTGAATATTGACACATTGTTTATAATAAAGATGCACTAGAGATAACTTTGAATATTTAATTATGCATTGTGTCAAAATAGCATACCTCTGAACTCTATACTTCCCCCTTTCACTGAGCAGCATCCTTATTTCTGAGGATTAAGTTATTTCCCTTCTGCTTACATTGTTTAGTCTTTTTGTAACTGTGTTTTTTCATATTTTGCTTTGTGAATCTTTGATTTCTAATTCTTCACCTAATCTTACACTGCAGCACCCTTTTTCAGGTAACAATAAAGAATGAAGCATTAATTTTATTAGAAGATACCACAGTTTTGCTAATGCTTGCCACTGCTGCTTTTGAATCTTGATATTCTTAATTTTCTACTGCAATGTTCTCATGTTGAGCAGAGATCTTTCCTGAGTTCCACAGGGATGCTTGTAATCCTCTTGTTTATGCTAGGCCTACTTAATTTGGTAGGTTGCTGACTATACTAATAATTATTTAAGTAGCAGTGACACTTCTTCTGCATTTATTAACATGGAATTTTGTCTGCCACTGTATTACCTGTACATCATGGTTGATTAGCTTCCAATTGATTACATTTTTGGTCTTATATACTTGACTAACCTATATAAGTATTAAGTTTTCTACTTTCTTTTTCAGCTCATTAATTAATACCTTTAAATATTGCTTGCTTTATGGATCCTTGAAGCATCCTGTTGTTAACCTTTTGCCGTGTTGAAGTTTGATTACGTATTCATAGTCCAAGCTTCCTGTTTCTTAGGTAGGAATAAAATATTTAAAGCAAAATGTAACTGGAATCTGCAAATATATCTGCAGTGTTGAAATCATGGCTTTTACTCAACTGTTAGCATCAGGTCTATTCTTGACAGAGGTATTCTAAATTTAGCATTCCAAAATAAAATGTTTTAACTGTATGCTTGTCACAAAAGCGCTTTGACACCATCTTCTACTGACTCTGGCAAAGCATTTTTTCCCATTTATGGCCTTTCTAGCGAGCTTAATCCATTATGTGAAATCAGCCCATTGTAAAAATCAATGGAATTGATATACTTTTAGCTAATGTATTAAAGAGCTGGCTAACTGCTCTATTATTCACTTTCTGATTGCTTAAATACGGTTTTGCACTATGAAATATGAAGGTTCTTAAGCGGCATTTACTTTCGGCTAAATTGGAATCTTGTGACTTTGAGCACTGCATAAATATCTCATGCATGTGCTGTTGTAGTAACTCCCAACTCATTGAGGCATTCTTACCATTGGGTTCACATAAAGGTCTTTTTATAATCCACGAGAGAGAATTAACTTGAATTCTGAAGACCTGGACTATTCACATTAGTGGATAATGGTTTGTAGTTTCTTGTAGGAGATAAGATTTTGATTCCTTGTGTCTTCGTTTGAAGGGCCAATGGAACTGTGCAGTCAATGTTGAAAGATGTGTCTAGTCGATAACCTCAGTTGTCACTGAAAGCAAATGTGCTTGGAGACCTGGTTAGTTAAGAAAAGGTACCCTTGGCAAGATAGTCTCCCAAGACTGTCCCTTGATAGAATTTACCACCCTTGCTTTTGTGATCGAGCGTTTTATTTTCAATTATTAAAAAAAACCCACATAAATTTTTTTCCCTTCACTTCTTCTGCCTTTAAGTAGTAGGTAATTGTGGTATGGAACTTGATTTGGAAATAGCTTCAAAACTTTTTTTTTTTTGCCAAGGTATTTGGTTTTGGCACTAGAGTAGTCAGTTTTGTTTCTTTGGAATTAAAAAGTTATCCTCAACAATCAGAGCTTTGTAATGGTGCCTTTTCACTGGAATCTGTGTTTAATGACCACAGCAACTCTCATTGATAGTTTCAGCTCATGTGTTTTTCCTTTTTTATCAGATGTTTTCCAGCATTTAAAAGAAATATACAGGTAGGGATATTGAACAGTGGGTTGTGTTGCTATTCTGTGTAATCTGATGGTCCTCAAGACATTTCTTTTTGTTTTCCTATGAGAAGTTACTGCTAGTGAAGAACAGTATAAAGCAACAGCAATTTGCTGCTGTGGAAGTTCAACTCTGGGACCAGCTGATGTACAGCTGCTGTGAAATTCATTCCTAATTAAGGAGGGAAGTGTTTTCATAATTTTCTTTTCCTGGTGCCATGCTGGTATCAACTTTCAGAAACTTATACTCTGTTAGAAAACTCATCCAAAAGATAAGCCAGTTCAGTGTTTTGTTGTCTAGCTGAAAGAGCATTAGCATCCTTTGTAGGCAGAATGTATGAACTGCTCTTTTATTCTATAATTCTCATATTGCTTTGTAAGACTTTGTCCTGTAAATTGTAAGCCAGTGTAATATCGTAAATGTTTTGGTAAGTCTACTTTGTTTTCAGTAGGA